TATTCGTTGCGTCGCCTTCTCCACTGGTTACGTTTGAAGCGTTTGTTAAACTCACCTAAGATAACTTTGCCACGTCGAGCCAGAAGCCTTCTGCAAGTCAACTACGTCTCTTAGATCGGCTCATTGGTTGTTCATTCATTAATTTGCCTTCGATGAACCGCTAAGGTAACGTGCAAATTTATAAATACGGAAATCTGATACTTTGAACGATAATGAACCTGTTTAACCAATTTCTAAGAATGACTTATCAGCCCACGTTTCCAAAACATCAATAATAGATAACAAAGCTGCCATGGAAACGTTTGATGTAGCTTAATCAAATAAATTTCCTTTAAGCCTTGCTCGTTAATCAAATCTAATCAACTTTTTATTGAAATTATATAGAATATTCAGATTGTATAGTTTGTTCTCGTTTTCGTTCGCCAACTAAGATTTGCAATAAAAGTAAAAAAAGGTCTATTGATTTATTGAAATATACTTTGCTTTGGGGCATGCGATCAAGCTAATTATTTGCACCGCGAGCTCTTCCTTGGCCAGTTAAATAATTTTTGAGGTTAAAGCTTAATATTTTAGTTTTGGCCACTAAGATTTTAAATAAAAAAATTTCAATTTATCTGACGCCTGTCTCGTTGACATCTGTCGTTTTCGGGGCGGTTCTGTGCACACCTCTTACATGTAGCTCATCCACGAAATAATTTAACAATTTGAATCAACTCTAGTAAGAAAATTTGGGACATTTTTGCCAACGAGGCAACGAATTTTGAAACAAAAAAAGGTATTTTACGCGTTTGCGGATCCTGTTACGGTTGATAGTAATTACTCTTGTTCACGATCGATAATCACAAACTAATCAATCCCCAATAACAGAACTGATTACAAATTCAATGGCTTACCATCCGAAGCTGTGGATTTCTTAAAATCGAGGAAGTTGTTTCTAGAGCTTTTTAGTGTGTATTTGTCGAATACTGTAATACTGTAATTTGCAAGGAAACCCAGATTTCCGGTTAATTATTTTGTATAGCACATAGTTAAATCACGGGCTACTTTTGACCTATTTTTAATCGAGTTGGAAGTAGATCGGATAAATTCAAATAGATTGTGTAAATAAATGGTCAAGAATTGCTCAAATTGCAATCAACGTATGTTTTGATGTTGTTTTTCAAGATTTGGTACTTGTTATCAATCCTGGTTTTTTTTATTTTGTGACGCGACGCTCCCAGATGCGTCTGAAACTTGGAGCCTAAAATGCCACATTTTGGCGGAATTCCGTTGTTATCGATTTTCTCAAAAATAAATAAATCGATATCAGCCAAACGAAGCATGCAGTGGTTTATTTCCCATTAAGACCTACTTCACTTTGAAATATGGGCGAAATTGATTTTTCAGCTGTTGCCACCAAATGTTTGACCATTGGTAACATTCGCTCTTAACATTTTTGCCAAGTTCGTAAAAATCCGTAACATATACTAATCCAGAACAACAATTTCAAGTAAAATGCTACCATTCATAGCTGCGATAACAAGATGCAACCTGTTCCTATTTATGCGACAGTATGTCATTCACGAAAGATACTTCATAAATTCAGCCGCTATAATATGGTTGAACACATTAAGATTAAATGTAACCCCCTAATAGATCTGAGCCTTTATCCAAACCTTCATTAAAACTATTTGATGATTCAGCATTTATTATATTTTAGAAAACCGGAAATAATTTCGACTTCGCGGCAATATCTAGACAGTAATCTTTGAAGCGATTGTAAACTTTGCTCGACGTTTTAGTCTCGTTTGCTGATATTCGTATGATGACAACGATATCGATTGGAGTGTAAACCTTCTGATCTAAAAGTAGGGGTTTATGTGCACAAACATAAGATCTGCTTTCCCTGATGAGGCCAGAAACTGGTGGAATTTATGAATGGCGAGCCGAAGGAACATTAGCCCGTCAACCCAATTATATCTTTTATGTTGGAAGCTCGTGGAGGCGTCAACCAGGAGCACTAAGGCAGAGAATTATCGAATACTGGACGGATGGATAGCATAAAGAAGATCTCTCATGAATGAAGCATTAGGAAATGTTTATGAGTTATGGGTTCGTGTTAAGACCTCCAATGGATGGGAGAGTGCTGAAGACATGGAGAAACTGTTAGAGGAGTACGACTATGCTTGGAACGTCAGAAACAACGGAGACATCCGACGTATTCTGCCATGAACAAAGAATAGTTTGAGTTAAGCATGATTTATGATGATGATGCCTTTTCTGCTGACCATGATGCGTGATTTTATATGTTAGTGATGGATTGTTTTCTCTTGACTAAAAAATGTTCACTTTCCGTTAGGCATGGCTCAGGCTGGTTCCACATTAGATAAGTCAGCTTGTATATTTTCCATACTTTACTATATTGGCGTGCTCTCTGTATTGGTTCCAAAACGTTGTCACATAATCGTACTATGTAAACGATGCTGTGCTGATAGAGGTTTATGCGGTGCTTTGTATTGCACCGGACATTTAATAGAAAATTGCAGAGCCTACGAAGGGTGTGTAAACATTGTAAATGTTGCATATAGAAAGCCTTCATAGAAAACTAGATCGCGTGTCAAATTCACTGTGTTCTTACCGAGGCTACAACGGCCAGTTCACGAGTTTTATATGAATACCTCTGTTTAAAATATAGGAAATTACTTTTTTCTCAAATTTTTCTCTCAATCTTGCAAAAAAATTGGTTTGGAAATGAATTTGTGGCCGCAATTGTGACATTACGGCGCGTCGGCTAAAAACAGTTTGTTGATAATATTAATCTTTCACCAAAAGTAAATCAGAAAGTTAAGTCTTGAGTTATTTATTCACACTTGACTCAGTCGAAGGAACTTTCATTCATTTATTATCTGAATTCTCTCAATTTGTTTGTTGTAATTTTATAAATCGGCGAGCGAGGTTTTGAGTTCTACTGAGGTCCATTTACATAGTCTCGGGTATAACCGAGACAACCCTTTCCCCAAGACAACTTTACGGAGCGTTTGTATGAGATTTGACATCTACTAACCCTCGTTCGGCCAGGCCAGGCTACCTATTCAACAAAGTGGCGGACAACAGGAAAAGAATAGGTGTAAAACGCGAGGACTCTGGTTATAGCGGGCGCACTCATTTTCTGTTCGAGACGTCTCTCTCGGGTGAGAAAAAGTTTTCCCATATGCCACGGTTACCCTACCTTCCGAGGTGAGACAAGGCGCCTCCCGGTTGTCTCGCCTACCTGAGACGAGTTCACAATCAGTGGAAAAGGTCGGCTTAAGTTTAGGCCCATATAATTGGGCCTAAAAATACGCTTTCAGTAAGTCTTCCCCATTCCGTTCAATTTGGACATTTGTACGCTAATTGCTCAACAGAAACCGAAGAAATTCAACGAGAAAAGGCTGCTCTAAGTCCCATTGGGTCTAGTTAACGTGTTTCATTTGAGTCAAGTACTTTGGTGGAGGAAAGACCAGGCCCCGGTTGTTCGAAGCGTGGATAACACTATCCACTAGATAGATCTCTATCTAGTGGATAGCGCAGTACGTTTTAGTAACACTCATCCGCTGGATAGCGATTTATCCGTTGGATAGCGTTATTCGCTCCTTGAACAACCGGACCCAGATTTACACACGCCATAGCAGTAAACAAACAAGCAAACTATTACCATTTGAAAACATACATTTATATTAGTTTAAACTACTTTTCGTGCCATTTACTGACTGAGCAGAGGTAAATCTACGTTAATTGATCGTCGATGCAAGTCATTAACACTCTCCGTAAGATCATTGACTTTTTTTGAAGGAGAAATCGTTGTGAGAATCATTGCACTGTTGTAATAGGTTGAGTAAATTAGCATTAAATGTAACCCCCTAATGAGTCTGAGCCTTTATCCAAACCTTTATTAAAACTGTTTGATGATCCAGCATTTGTTACATTTGAGTAAAAGCATTCAGACTTCATCTACAAGTTGTATGGCATCTATTTAGTCAACAAATGCTGCGGCTTTTTGGTATCATTGTGTTGTTGATTTATGTGTTGTTCCTGCCTCGACTAAGACGATTATACTAGAAAAAGAATATTTCTTAGAAAACCGGAAGTCATGTCGACTTCGCGGCAATATCTAGCCGGTAAATCCACAGGCGGCCCAGGCTCTGTCATAGGCTCTGTCACAGGCTCCTTCACAGTGGATTATTATAGAGTTTGTATAGTGGTTTAGTTGGACTTGCTTTTGAGCTCCGTAAATATAAAGTTGTGTGAAATAGTCAAAGATATAAAGTCTTAAGATATAAAGAGTAGTCTGTGCTGTTCTTGTCACGATTTGAGGCCGTTTTGCTGTGTTTCAGCTCAACGTCACAACGCTACCAAATAAAAGGGAAGGTAGGAAAGCTCTGTCTCACTCACGCTCGCCAAAATCGCTCGAAAAACACACTTAAATACTTCCCCTTGAATCGAAACTTAGTAGCACGAAAGCCAAATAGGCTCCCTTCAAGTTCACCAAAACAAACTGGGTCGTCGAGGAACCAGCCCAGCGAAAATCTCAAATTGACCGCCATTTCAACGCCATTAGAATGCACGTCCGTCAAATCCTGTGCAGTCAAAAGTTCGTTACGACGCGGTCGGCCTGAACACTAGCAAAATTAGGCCCAACGGGTAGCCCCACGATATAAATGATTAGTCAGTTTTGCCAGTGTCCAGGCCGACCGCTTCGTAACAAACTTTTGACTGCACAGGATTTGACGGACGCGCATTCTAATGGCGTTGAAACGGCGGTCAATTTGAGATTTTCGCTGGGCTGGTTGCTCGACAACCCAACTTTTATGGGATTTGTTTTGGTGAACTCGAAGGGAAACTATTTGGCTTTCGTGCTACCAAGCTTCGATTCAAGGGGAATTATTTAAGTTTGTTTTTCGAGCGTGTGTGAGACAGAGCTTTCCTACCTTCCCTTTTATTTGGTAGTGCTAAGACTTTAAGCTGAAACACAGCAAAACGGCCTCAAATCGCGACAAGAATAGCACAGACTGCTCGTTATGAAGGTAAGACTTTATTTCTTTGATTATTTCACACAACTTTATATTTACGGAGCTCAAAAGCAAGTCCAACTAAACCACTATACAAACTCTACAATAATCTACTATGAAAGAGCCTGTGACAGAGCCTGAGCCGCCTGTGGTAAACCTTGAAGCGATCATAAACTTTGCTCGATGTCTTAGTCTCGTTTGCTGATATTCGTATGATGAAAACGATATCGATTGGGATATAAACGTGATCTTAAAGTAGGGGTTTCTCGCCAGCTATTTATGGGAATGCTAAACAAGAGATCGTCTCATATTAATTCCTTTCTTCAGAGATTAAGAGGAAAGCAAACTTTAAGGTAGACTCGATATTTTTCTGGTTATCTTTTTCCTGTTTCTTAGAAAAGCGGAAGTGTTCACGGGACTAATTTCGATTGGCTTGTTTTTATAGCCTCAACACAAATTGATGTCACATGATAGAAATAATGACTTGTAACTGGGTACCAAGATTATGTGTAACACAAGGTAAAAACCCGGACACAACGGTTGGAAACTTGAAACTGAAATTCAGAGCGCGCCACAAATTGTTCATAATCTTCAAAATCCGTTAAGTTAAATGGCTAAAGTTCGGCGTAAGAGAGAAACGAGCCGTCTTAAGGGATTGGAAGCAAAAGGTTGGAAACATTGGGTAAAAGCCATAGTCCCTCGAAAAGCCAGGCGCACTGAACCACGTGGAGACAGCCAAGTTGGTTTTATGTGCACAAACATAAGATCTGCTATTCCTGCCAGACAATGTGGAATTTATGAGTGGCGAGCTAAAGGAAAGTCAGCCCGTCAACCCAATTATATTGTTTATGTTGGGAGCACATGCCGGGGTAAACCAGGAGCACTAAGGCGAAGAATTATAGAATATTGCACGGATGGATCGCATAAAAAAGATCTCATGAATGAAGCTTTACGTAAAGGTTACGAGTTATGGGTTCGTGTTAAGACATCGCGAGGAACGGATAATGCTCAAGAGTTGGAGAACGAACTGTTAAAGAAGTACGACTACGCCTGGAACGTCAGAAACAACGGAAAAATCCGACATATACTGCCATCAGCGAAGAAAAGTTCGAGTTAAGTACAGTTTATGATGACGATACCTTTCTGCTCAGCGTGATGCGTGATGTTATATGTTAGCGATACATTTCTGTCGGGCAAAGCTCAGGCTGGTTCCACATCAGATAATTCAGCTTGTGTATTGGTATGTGAGTACAACGAGAAAGATGTTTACCATATTTCACGATACTTTACTTTATTAGTATGCTCTCTGTATCGATTCCAAAACCATTGTCTCAGAATCGTGAAATGTAAACGATGCTATTTTAATAAAGGTTTACGTAGTGCTTTATATTGTACCGGGAATTTAATAGATTATTGCAGAACCTACGATGGCTGTGCAAACATTGTAAAAGTCACATATAGAAAGCCTTCATAGAAAACTAGATCGCATTTCAAATTCCAGGGTTCGCACGCGCCTTGAAAGTCCTTGAAAGTCCTTGAATCTCAAAATAAAAATTCAAGGCCTTGAAAGTCCTTGATAATTGTAGTCAGTGCTGGAAAGTCCTTGAAATTTGTAGCTAATTTAATCCAACTTAGATTCTAGAGTGCCTTATCTGAAAATATATGCAACTGGCACAAACGTAGCAACACATAATAGTAAGATACAAATAACAAACGATCGTAACGCCACTCCGCATGTCGATCAATCGCCCATATCCATTTGTCCTGTTCTTGGTTCTATTAATCACTCTGATTGGTTGAATGTCTCGAATGTCAAGGGCCAATCAAATGTTTTGTACTATTCCCTCTTTCTGAGAAAAGCCATGTGCTTTGAGTGCTTTCCTTGTCTGGGTTAGTGTTGATTGTTTGCGTTTTGTTTCACGAGTGAGAGATTTAAAACAATGGGCAAGTGTGTTTTCAGCAACTTGTGGCTTCAGAAATCACTGTATAAAGATTGGCTTCGAGAAGTCAAGGGTGACAAGCACAAGGCACGATGCATCGTGTGTATGAAGGATGTTGACATTTCGAGCATGGGAGAGTCAGCGCTCACAAGTCACTTGAAAGGAAAAAAACATCAAACACTGACATCCCAGAAAAGGTCATTAGCAAGCGTTCCAGATTTTTTTGGCGTTTCTTCTCAACAACCAGCAACTACAAGTGACGATGCCAAAGAAGTTTCAAAATCCGCTTCGTCTGAAAGTGGCGAACACAACACGCTCAACCCCACAAAGTCTAGTACTACGAGTTCATCTGGTTCATCGGTGATGGAAAGAATTGTCACTCGTGATGAGACTTTGAAAGCAGAAATTTTGTGGGCATTGAAGGTGATAATGTCTCATTACTCCTATAAATCATGCGAAGGTACGAGCAAATTGTTTCAAGCGATGTTTCCTGACAGTCGGATCGCGAGTCAGTTTACATGCGGAGAAAAGAAATGTGCATACTTGATCTGTTTTGGGCTCGCTCCACACTTCAAACAACTTTTGAAGGACGTTGTGAAAAAAGAAGAAGCTTATGTACTTATGTTTGACGAGAGCCTGAATAGCGTGTGCCAGTCAAAGCAAATGGATATTCACATTCGTTCATGGAATCATGACAAACACGAAGTTGAAAGTCGCTATTATACCTCAGTGTTTATGGGGCATGGAACAGCAGAGGACATGCTTTCTCATTTTCGTTCAGGCATAGAAGGAATTCCTCTCAAAAAAGTTTATCAGGTAGGATGCAACTCTCGTTATGTTTGGGTAATCCATGAAATTGTTTGCAAGATATGCTTCTTTGAAGTTGTATTATTTCTTACCCTCAATTATCGACATTTCGAAATAGGCAATAGCACAAACTTAGTCTTCACACAATTACCTAATTTCAATTATTCTTTGTCATATTGCCACTCTTTTGAAAGACCTATGTCTTGCCATTATTAAAAAGGTGTGATCAAATTGGAATCAATTATATTGTTTTCATGACTGGCATTTAATTTCATCGTTCGCCGGCGAACGATAATTACAAGAAGTTGCGTTAAATTTTTTTTAACATGAAAATCTTTCAATGTCTGTTATTATTTTGCTGTAGAAGGGCGAAAGATGCAAGATTACTTAATCTAATTTATTGCATGTAATATAAATTGTGCGTTCACAATCTAGCCAATGTTCCAAAAAGCGATAAAATTGTATTAAATAGAAATGAAACACCTTACTTGGTTTTCTGCCCTTTAAGGTCTAAATAAATCAACACTCTTTCATTGCAAATCTTCACAATTCCAATGCATCCATGACTAGTTCACTTCGTGTCTAGGTGGACAATGACACGAACTCTGGGACGTAATGCAAGTACTAAATTAAATAATCTGTTTCCCTTTCAATATTACAAGGAATGTTTTCTCTCATACTAGTTGTCAATGGATGGACCCAACGTTAATTGGAAATTTTACAGTATGCTGACTGATGAGGCAAAAAGGGAGCATAATAGTCACATGCTGAACATTGGCAGCTGTGGTTTACACATTCTTCATGGAGCATTCAAGGATGGTGCTGTGGCATCAGGATGGCAGTTAGACAGGTTGTTCTCTAGCCTTCACTGGCTTTTTCAGGACAGTCCGGCAAGGAGAGAGGACTACACCAAAGTAACAGGAAACTCACTGTTTGCTTTGAAGTTCTGCAAACATAGGTGGTTGGAGAATGTCTTGGTTGCAGAACGTACACAGAGTATGTGGGACAGTGTTGTCAAGTATGTTCAGAGTGCAAGGGCAGGAAAAGTTCCACAGCCACAGAATAAATCCTTTGAAACTGTACAAGAGTTTGTTGCAGATCCCTTTACGACTGCAAAAGTCGCTTTCTTCCTATCAGTAGCCAAGCAAGTGACNGATCTTTGCTCTTAGCAATGTTATGCAAAAAGTCTTTGAACTAAGAAATGATTTTAAAAATTCACACATTTTCAACAGCCCAGTTGCATGAAATTGGTTTAAAAAGCTACTTATGTAGCTTAAGGTCAAATATTCAGATTTAAGTTAACGCCCACAATTTACTTTCTTTTGGACTTGCAATCTGCTTTTAATACACTCAGTAGTAATAACTTATTCTTTCTTGATTTTCATGTTGTATTCACAACACTTATCTGAGGACTGTCACTTAAATGTTGCGACTAAAAAATAAGGTGTCATGAAAATGTTATGTAATTAGATATCTTGGGAGCTTGTTTTGATCAAGTACATTTGGAAGCAAAACTTTGCAGCTTTAAATCATATCAGGATCTATGTCCTAATCTCATTCCCCTGTGTATCCCTAAAATAAATGAAAAATACACAGGTGGCTTAATGGAAGACTTAAGGTATTTAAATGTGAAGTTGATCTAATCAAATGGCACAATTGGAGGACAAAAATTAACAAGAGCTGCACAAACTCTTATCATATGATCCACCAGTGCAGTACACCTGTCAGAGTTTTCATGATTACAGATAAGGAAGTCAGTTGGCAAGGTACCTTCCAGTATTGTATACTTCCGTCTAAGTAGTCCAATGACGCGTTCAACATGAATTCTGACATTTGCAATGCCTCTGGTCTGCTCCACATCCACTGGGTCGAGCTGAGATTTACCCTTTGTGAAAGCTGGTATAACCAGTTTAGCATGTTTCAGTCCAACACTTTCAGTGATGGTGAATCCCCGGTCAGCCATCACCATGTCTCCTGGACTCAGTTTGTCTAGGAAGCCACAGTTCTCAGTTAAAAATTTATCTGAGACACGACCTCCCCAGGCTTCAGACACATATGAAATAGTTCCTTGTGGTGTTATCCCTACCAGAATTTTGATTGTATTGTGATGTTTGTAACTTGAAAAGGTCTGTGCCCTGGCTAGCAAGTTTGAAGGCCTCTCGATAAATACTTCAAAGCAGTCGATCACAACAGTTGTTTTCTTTCCGAATGCATACTGAAAGCACTGAGGCATTGTTCTCCACAGTTGATCCCTGTCTGGCCAGTACACAAAGCGAAATAACCTCGTGTCCATCGCAACAATCCAGTGGGAAAATATTCTGGAAATTGTTGACAGTGAAACAACAAACCGGTATGCAAGATCCTGCAGCGGTGCATTTAGTCTTAGTTTCATAAGAACAATGATGAATTCTTGAAATCTGTTGAGCGACTGTGTTTGCCGTGTAACATGTGAGGAGACGTGCTCGAAAACAACCATCAGTACTTCCATAGATGGTAGCCCAGTGTAAAAGCGAACTTTATCGTCAGTGTCAAAGAAATCCTTGTTTGGGGCTTGATATTTGCTTGTCTGAAACATGTAGTCAAACTCGGTAGTTTGGCACTCGGCGTCCTTAACAGTTTCTGGTTCGATTTGTTCACCTTCCCTAACTGCTATGGCCGACATATCAGAAGAAAAGGCCTCCTCGTTCCCTTCGTTTCGATTTCCCTCTTCTTCTGTCGAAGTACTTGGCTGACTAAAGTCGATCTGAGCAGCACGAAGGCTGCTTTCCACAAGCTTTTGACGTTTCTCTGCCGCTTCTCGTTCTTGTCGTTCGACCGCAAGTTGCTTTCGCTTCTTTGCCCTTTCCGCTCTCTCTGCGTTTGCAACATGGTCTAACGTAGGGCGATAATTTCTCTTGCCAAGTTGCAATGTGGGCACCCAATCTACGTCGTGCTTATGCCAGGAAGGAGCTGGCTTCCCAGAAACAAAATGCTTGCCACATACCCGTTCGCTGTTTAGCACGCCTTTCGATTCCGTGTCGTCGCGACTGATCGCTTTTATCCATTTTTCTCTCCGCTCTGTAGTCAGTTCTTCTTCAAATTCTCCTTTGTTGGTTACCACTGAAGGTATTCGATAAAATCCAATCCCTTTATCTCGGTCACTTCTACTTCCACATCCAAAAACAACGCAAAGGACCATGTTAAGCTCGCTTTTCTCACTGTGATCTCTCTAAATGGGCGCGTTTGTTTGGGCACCAACATGGCGGATAGCAACCGTCGTCAAGGTAGAAGTCACGTGGGTGAAAACCAAGAATATTATTGATAATATTAGCGTTTAACAAAGAGTAACTCAGAAAGCTAGACCTTGACATTCAAAAGTCATTGAACTTACTCAAAACTACCTTTCTGCAGTGCCATTTACTGACTGAGCCGAGGTAAACCTTCGTAGATCAATGGTCGATCGAAGTGAATAATACTCTCTGTAGGATCACTGACCGTTTTTGAAGAAAAAATCGTTGTGACAGTCATTGAACTTACTAAATCTTATTAGTTGTTTGCCAAACCAGTACTGTTGTTTTTTTAAGAGTGTAGAAGCACTTTTTTCTTACGCGCTTTCTGATTGACAGGTGTCAGACTGCGAGAGATTCTCAAAAAAATGTTTCAAAGTTTCTTTGGAAGCTTTTTGAATCACCTTCATTATTACGAAAATAATAACGTTTGGTGAGGCTTCTCTCTCTCATTTGCATTGTCTCTGTTTTCACCACCATTTACTCGCTCAAAAATTTTTCTGTTTCTAGAGATCTTGCCGTAATCACAGCCCTAAATCATTCGGGTTCTTTAGAAAGGCATTTCGTTAAATTTTTTTTGTTATTCACCAGTCTACAATCAGTGACAGAATTGTTGACACATTGAGGGGTCTTGTCAGTGATAGAGTGATAGAGTGGTAGAGACAAGAGTGATATTCTACACAAAAATAGGACTCTTCAAACATGATGTGTCAACTTAATTTGACGCTGACTGTAGGTCGGTCCGTATTGGGAAAAACTGTGTCCTCTACATTGAGTACCGTCCGAGACCCTAGGCCTCAGGCGGTCAAAGATTTTCCCAGCTACGGATCGACCTAGGCTGATGAACAACATATATTTGTATTCTCAAGGGTGCAGCCCAAAATCCACGCCGTGAGTCAAAATTAAGCATTTAAAGTAGTGTACAAGTATTCCCACGATCACGCAATAGACGTTTAGGACCTTCGTCTTTCAACTGATCTTCATCGACCAATTTCTGACCGATGATCAGTGCTAGATCATAATACTCCTGCGCTTTTTCCAGATCACCAAGTTCAGCATGAACGTTACCGAGGTTATTATAAGTAGCTGCGACGTGGACATGCTCAGGTCCAAGTTTTTTCAGATTAATGGCTAATGCAAGATCAAAATAATCTCTAGCCTGCTCGAGGGAGTCGGACAAGAGATGAATAATGCCAAGGTTATTGTATGTAGTTGCAACATCAACATGCTCAGGTCCGAGCTTAATCGTTCGAATAGCCAGTGCATGATCATAGTATTCTTTCGCTTGCTCCAGATTTCCCAACTGTCGAGATATGCTTCCTAGGCTGCCATAAGTAGCTGCGACATGAATATGATTCGGACCGAGTTGTTTCAGTCGAATTCTCAGTGCATGATTGTAGTACTCCCTTGCCTGCTTTGGATGACCCAATTCACGATGAACGTCTCCTAAATTATTGTAGGTAGTCGCAACATGAACATGCTCATGTTCACCCATATCGTGAATAATGACAAGCGCCCGATCGTAATAGCTTTTCGCTATCTCAAGTTCTCCTAAGCCAAGGTGGATGTTTCCCAAGTTCCCATAAGTGGCTGCGATATCTACATGCCTGCGTCCTTGTTTTTTCAGTCGAATAGATAATTCACATTCAAAGTACTTTTTTGACTGATGAAAATCACCAAGGTCCTGGTGAATGGTACCCATGTAAAAATTGGCGATTGCTGCATCAACACCTCGAAAACGTTTATCACACTTGGTAATTTCCAATGCTAAATGAAAGTACTTCTTCGCTGTGCAAAAGTCCAAATGCTTTTGGGCCACCTGCCCAAGGTTTCCAAACATGCCTGGAAGACCCTGAACTTTGAAAATGTCCTCTTTGGTGAGAACTTTGGGTAGTTTCTCTGCACAGAACAAATTTTCAACTTTCAAAATAAAGGATTTCAAATGGGGAACAACTTGGTTGCTGCTAGCGATAGAGTCAGGGTCATCAGAATTTACAAGTGACCCGTCGTTTATGAATTTGTTAAATGACCTTAGAGCTCCGCTCACGGCTTCAAGACTCTTTTCCTCTGGAAGCTCATTCATTAAAGCATTAGTGACTTCATGCACAGCATTATGTGCGCGAATATAAACACCACTCTCTTCCTCGTCTAACAAAAGTAACGAGCACCTTTGAATTCTCAAACTTAGCACCTCACGTGCTTCCATCTCGTTGTCTGCAGCCAGAAGGTAATCGATCACGAGGTCCTGATGCACTGGTTGCGTTGCACAAAGGGAGAGGAAAGTGAAAACACGATTAAGAACTTTGTCGGATGCCGTCATCGTTTCAACGGCTAACGATATTGCTGTGGTCATGGACTTTTGGTAGCCAGGGTTGGTCTCAGCAAGAATAGCCTCAGTGACACGCCGTTGGCCTTTGTTCAGTTTCTCGAGGTAATCGTTCCAGCCAAACTTTGCAGTTGTTTTGTTCTGCCGCACCTGCCTAAGATAGGTTGCAGCGCTTGCAAGGGCAAGTGGCTGATAGTCCAGAGCTTGAGCAACTGCTCTCTCCATTTTATCGTCAGAGAACCCAGAGAGGTTGGCTAATAATGAACAAGCATCACGAGGCTCCAAGCCTTCACTTATAGAAACATGTTCGATAAAAGAGCTTGTGAAAGGGATAGATGCAGTGTCTTGCGTTGTGATCAGTACCTGTCCTCTTACCCAACACTCATTTCCGGGAAAATGGGCATGCATAGGAGACATCCTTGTCACGTTGTCAAATACCAGAAGCGAAGAGGAAAAAAGCGCCAGTTTTGGAGTTATCAGTGTTTTTAGGTTGACGATCTTCTCCTCCGTGTTCAAATCCCTGCAGTACAGAATATTTGTTATCGCGTATTCTGGGCACTTAAGATGTCGAGCAAAAGAAACATATGACTCTAAAAGTGAGGGTGGGCTTTCAGCATTTACCGTCATAACAAATGAAGGAAGTCCGGGAACCTTTTGGGCTTCATCATAATATCGCCTGGCCACAAGACCAGCCAACTGAGATTTACCACTTCCAGGGTTGCCTGATATGTACAAGTAAGTTAACCTGCTTTCGTTGGTGTTCTTCAGCCATTTAAGTTTTCGCGTAATTTGAACAACCTCACGGTCACGATTGGCAAGGTCATGCGAGGGTTTTGGAGGGAGAGAACAAAACGAAGAGATATCGCTCTGTAACTGATCTTCCAGGATCTGTCGCTGTTCTTCTATTTCTTTCAGTTCCATTTTAAGGTCGTCGATTTTTGTGAGCACCTTTTTGAGTTCGTCAGTAGGAAAACTTTTCTGATTTCTAAGGCCTTGAATCTGCAACGTAGAGAGACCAAGAGCTTGAAAAGCAGTTTGCACTTTACTAATGGCATTCTGAAATTCCACGTCTGTGATTTGACCTCGTGGCATGTGCGCAAATTGTTCGTTTCGAAAATGTTTTAGATCGTGTACATTTGAGTGGACAGCTGTGCTCAGACTGTAGATACAGTCGGAGAAGAGGATGGCGTAAAAAAGCATTGTGCAGTCCCATTCAGCTGTATTTCCATGAATCATGGTGGCCAAAAGACGAGAATTTCTTCTTTGATTACGTGAGGATTCCCCATTATAGAAGTCCAAACCATTTTTAGGTTGATCCTTCCATTCTCCCTTTGTTGATTTATAGCGGTTGTCCCATTCTTGCTTAAACACTGCTCGCAGACCATCTGCCAAAACATCGGTGGTAATGTAACAAATTCTGTAGTAATTAAGCTGTTCTGTAGAATATTTTGTAACACATGCCATATGTGGCCCTCCAAAAGATCTGTAACGAGTTACAGGCCTGTAATATAAAAGTGTAATTAGTTTTCAGTCTTGAATTTTAACGTGGTTGTGATGTCTTTGACATTAGAAAGCTTTTACTAGGACTAAAAATTCGTAGGTTTCTTGTTTAGTTGTGTCAAGGAAACTAAAGAAATTGTAACATAAAAAGTACATTTTTGCGTTAATAACGCTGAATGCATGAAATTAACTTGAAGCCAATTTGCATTCTACAAAAAAAAAAAAAAACAGGTGGTGCGTATTATAACGTTTTCAGCATTTCATTCTCCATCAAGTGTATTTTTCAAAAATCCTGGAATAAAAATCCCTGACCCAATTACTTTTCACTTTTCAATCTTCATGTACAAATGTTATAATGGTCTATTGCCTTCTGCTTTCTTGTCTCACTTGAACAATGTTCAGCAGGTACACAGTTATAATACACACTTACCTGCAAAACGGACCTATTTTCTCCCAAAAATCAGAACTAACCACGGAATTTTCAATGTCTGATATCAAGGGCCAAAAAATTAATGTGGAATACCCTTGATGAAAATATATGGAATTCTTCTCTCCCTATCTTTAAATTGATACTTTAATGAAAATTCGTGTATATTTATTACGCATACGATATGGAGATAACTATCCTTTTTTTTTTCCTGTGTGTGTTTATGTGATATGTGTGTGTCGAGTTTACATTTGTGTGATGTACTTTGGGTAGTTTACTGAGCTTTTAATTCAAATAAATCTTGATACAGTTTTGGGTGCCCGTGCCCCTCATACATCTCGTATAGAATAAAATTCTAATAAGTTGGTTTTATTATATGGCTGTGTCTCACAAGGACTGGGAACTACCGAATTCACGAATTTGATTAGCTGAAATCAATATTGAAAGCGGTCTAGATTTTTCCCATCTAGACCGGGATCTAGACCGGTGTAGAAAAAAAAGGTACAAAGAATATAAAAAATTGGCATATAAGACAGCCATATAATAATCATCTTATTAACTGAGCGAGGTCGGTCTGTATGGGAGAATCTTGACCTCGGTCGCTGGTACAGACCGAACACAGTGAGGTCTGTACTGGTGACCTCAGTCAAGATTCTCCCATACAGACCTCCCGCTCGGTTAATAAGAACTAAGTATAAATATGTTATTAGGTAAAAAAAAAATTTCATTGGTGTTGTTGTTGCTGTCTGCAGATCAAAAACAAAGCTTGATCATATGCAGTACCCCAAGCAATTATCCAATAATTTATAAAAAAAAATGGCTCTTTTAATGAATACCCGTAATACAGGCATAGCAAAGTTTGTGTTTAGGAAATAACAAAGCTTAAAGAGAATACCAAAAGTTCTTTTGATTTTTTTAAGTAATGTGGTTAATGTAGTTCTTTCAACTAATATTCAAATCTGTATTAACTCCAAGGTATCTAAAGGAAGTTTCTTCAGCTAATAATTGATTATTTATAAATAGCAGTAACCGTTCTGGGAATTTGTGTTTGTACTGGATGAAAAATAACAAACTTTGACTTTTCAGTATTTAATAAAAGCTAGCTTATTTGCAGATAGCCAAATATGTACTTTTCCAAGTTCATGGTTAATTTCACTTTCAAGTATATTAAGGTCCTTATACTTAAAAAAATAAATTTGTATCATCCACAAAAAAGTGAGAATCCAATAGTTTTGAGCAAATGGGAAAGTCATTTTTATAATAATAAATAAGGAAAAGGCAGCAGAATGTTGTAATTAACAGTATCAAATACTTTGCTGAAGTCTAGGAATATTCCATAAGAGTAATCATGATCTTCAATAGTTTTTTGCACCTGGTCAATATTACTTAGCACTACATGATCAGTTACATGGTGCGAGCGAAATCCAAACTTCTTGTTACAAATTAGGTGCCTTTTATCTAAGAAGTCAACTAACCAATTGATCAGGAGTTTTTCTGACAATTTATTAAATATTAAGTTGATAGAAGAGAAATAGGCCTATAATTACTTAGGTTTGTCTGAGAGCATTTCTTTAAGATTGGTATTACTCTAGTCAACTTGAATTTATGTGGGACAATTCCAGGAAAAACTTTCGATCCAGAGTGATTCATGAATGAACGAATGAATGAATAAGTTTATTAATGTGTCAATCATTCTAGTTTTTACAAGTAAAAACTAATTGGGGACACCTACTACGTAAACTTAACTAATAATTATAATAATATTAAGAAGAAAAACTATATACAAACAATATAAAATTGATAAAATTAAGTTTTACAGAACTCACAATTTTCACAATTATTTTTCGATATAACATTTGATAGGTCAAGGACTCTGACTTGATTTTTAAATGCAGTTAGAGAGTCAGCCATTTTGATTGATTTGTGGAGCTTTGACCAAATATAAGGTCCCATGTACCTTAAGCTATGTCTTCCGTATGTAACCGTGTTGTATCTTAGTAAGGAGAAATCGTCTGCATTCCTAAGATTGTACCTACTTATGCCGCAACTAAAAAGTTCAGAAATATATGGTGGGACTAAATTTGTCTTAACTTTATACATAAATATAGCCATGTCATAATCATTTTTGACTTGCACTGAGAGACCTGAACAATGAATATAGCCAAGAATAGTCGGCGAATTTCGACACACAATATGGTTTTCTGACGCACATAATTCCTACATCAAGTTCAATGGTTTGAGCCCCGACTGAGCTCAAAATGGAAGTTCATTAGCCAGCATTTTGAATAATGCTCTCATTGTACGATGGTCTTAAGTCTCACTTTGCCCGATTATTTATAAAAATATATTCGAGTGCTTCCCTCCCTTCCCGCTTGCATGAATTTCTACTTATCATTTTATCCCATTCCCACTAACAACAAAACCTTTATATGCAATCATAGTTAATAGAGGGGACTGGTTAGGAGACCCGGCAAACATCAAAGGTGCGGCCTATTGTTTCGTATTTGATGTTGAACCGCACTGTGACTTCACAGCGAGAGTGCACATCAAAAACAAAGATGGCGGACACTGTGGAACATTTTCTCTTGTTTAGGGAATATTTGGACGGAATTCCAGAATTTTTGGGCCAGATAAAGATATCGAAGAGTAGTTTAAAGCTTCAATAAACAAGTGAGCACATATTTTGCATCTGATAAGAAAAGTTGGTGTAGTTACAAAGATTTTTACTCAGTACTCCTGGTGCTACTCTATGGCCTATCGATGGTAATCCAAGTATTTATATATTTTCTTTGTCTAATTTGCTATGTCAGAGACTTGAATTTTCAATTTTTTTATTTGAACTTCTTTTGTACCTTTTTTTTGTATTTATTTTGTAGATTCTACCCATTTTTAACGGACAAAACGATATAGAAGAAATCATCACTATCTTCGAAAAATTGGGTCATACTCTCAGTTCAGCTGTACAAAATGTCAATATAAAATGAAAAGGTAGTTAATTCATTGGAAGAGCTTAGAGAAAACACCTCCGACTTTACCGTGCTTATATCTAAAGGTTTTAATTTCTTAAGCTTCTTTGGATAATTCATAAAATGGGACACTTAAGTACTGAACANGGACGAGATCGTGCAAGACGTACTGACAGTGGAGTCTGATGTAAACAGACCACAGAGACATAAAATATAGACGATAATACTCACATATCTCGAAATCTTCGGGTGAAAAATGCTTCTCGCAAGTGTAGACTCGATCGTTCTTGATTTGCTCCCTAAAATCGGAGTCAATTACCCGAGTTTTCTTGAGTTTTCCGAGCCAAGATTCGTGCCATTCGCGATGTTTCGCGTCGTCTGCTTTTGGCAGTTTCCAAATTCCAGTTCCTTTGGTCCGCCTACACGATCCACAGCCAAAGACCGCACAGTTTCGGCCTGGCATGGCATATTATAAAACTATATAGTTAAAACTCCAATAATTATCTCCATGTAATCAAAAATCTACGTAAAGTATCGCTTCCTCTCAATGTCTTTCCCATCCGCTCTGTATTCAGCTGGTTGACTGTGCACTCTCGTGGTGACGTCATAGGGCCAAAACGAAAACAAAGAGACACTCCTCTGATGTTCGCCGGGTCTCCTAACCAGTCCCCTCTATTGACTATGATGCAATTCGGCGCTTTGACGCGCACGCTTATACCCTCTTTAGTACAAGAAACAAACTCGCGAAGTACTTTTTCGTCCCTCAAATAGTTTGATCTCGCCTCTCAAAATGTTATCTCTCAACATATGATTGGATCTATGCATATTACGGAAAACAAACGAATAAATTTGTACTGCAACAATAGGCTTGGATAAACGATTCAAGAGGACACATAGAAAGTGAAGATGATGGGTGCAATATTGACACACGGAACCAAAATAATTAAAAGAACATGTCACAAGGAACACGTTTCTTTTCAAGAGCGCGATGGTATGTCTAAGGAGTATATCTGCATTATAAAACAAACCCATGACGGATGAACTACACCGAGAGGCTTGAGGTGTTGAAAACACTGCGAAGCTTTGCAAGACAAAACAATAATCTCATGAAAAACCATCAACAAACACCTCGTCAGAGCATCTGTTGGAACGCAGCAGTTACATTTGACAGGCTAATTTTCGCGAAACCGTGTAGGTACATGAATGATCTTATCCATCTGCTAAACATTGCGAGCGAATGTAAATAAAAAACGAACAACGTGACAAATATCTATCGACTCTAAGTGGCCATTTCCTCATCGCCTTGGTCAACAATGTCGTACGCTGTTAACGATAATCTAACACTAGGAAGCCATACTTACTTTGAACGTTGAACAAGTTGCTCTTTGTGAACCAGTTCGACGACAGCACAATCTGGATTCACAACAGCTACAATAAATCCAAGTAGGGCGGAAGTCGAGACTGTGTCCTTCGCCTCCTTACGTCACGCGACAGAAGAAAACCGTGAGCTCGCTATTTTTACCTTCCCTAATGATTGGCTCCCCTCTAAGCCGGGGAGTTTTTGCGGAAGCAGGAGCCCATTACTTGGAGCGTTCAACTCCCATACTGATCCAATGTCACGGCATTTTCAAAGAACGGTTTATTTTTAGACTACCTTTTCCCGAGAAATAGGTCACTCGAGCTCACGTGCATTCGTTGAAATGAGGAGTCAAGTTATAAATTAACTATACGCTAATCGTGATTGGTCAAAGGGCTTCCGTGAGTAGTCCCATTTTGCGGTTAATTCAAACTAAAATAGACTTGTCTGTGAAAACACCACGACATAATTAAGCAAAGGGCAGTTGAACACTCCAAGTGATCATGACTAAAACACCACACGAGTACATACGGGTAACATACGAGTAACATACGGAACATACGGATACATACGACTAACATACGACTAGCATACGAGTAACATACGGGTACATACGAATATATACGAATACATATGGGTAAAAAAATACGAGTAAAATTCATGCGAGTAAATTTTTAAGCAAAGTAACGACATGAGAGAGCAAAAGATATTTGATATTTTCTCGTCACGCATTACTTCCCCGACTGAGGAAAGATTGCGTTACAAGAGCACAGATCTTTGATATTAAACCGGTGGCCTGGGGTCATGCCAGGTAATCCGATGTACGTAAAAATTGGCCTGTTGCGTAGTGGATGGTCTTCACGTGTTCAATCTTTACTGATCACTGAACAGATTGAAGAGCGTAATACTGATTTACAGATGACACAGATGAGAAAGGAACCGTGATGTAGATGTAACTAACAGTGGCATGACCCCAGGCCACCAGTTTAATATCAAGGATCTTTGCTCTTGTAACGCAATCTTTCCTTAGTCGGGGGAGGTAATGCATGACGACTAAATATCAATTATCTTTTGCTCTCTCATGTTATATTTTACTTAAGTTGTCGTTACTTTGCATAAAAATTTACTCGTATGAATTTTACTCGTATTCGTATTTTTTTACTCGTATGTACTCGTATGTTACCCGTATGTTAGTTGTATGTATTCGTATTTATTATCCAACTACACTTAGACGAGTACAAATAACGCTATCGACGAGTACAAACAACACGCGGTATTTGCACTCGTTTAATGTAGAGTACCGGTTAAACAGGTTTTCTGGCATCGCGCAAGCGAAGAATTGGATTGTAGTTACGAAAAAAAAAGGGGGGCGGACAATTTGAATCATATTTCCGACGACGAAGAGTCAGAATGGCTGGCAAATATAGATCCAAGTTAATTAGATGAATCGAACAAAGAAAAACAGCTTGACGACCAGAAAATTTCTTCATTTAATGAAGAAAATAGAAACAGCGACACAACAACGCGCCAATTCCGTTCCGCTTCGCGTACTTTTGTCACGCACTCCCCGTAAATAAATATCCGCGAAATTCGCCCGCACTGAAATAACAGTTTGGCGTGTTGGATAATAAATAACTTATTAGACGTTTTGTTGCATAGTATCGCCGAGTATTTTTACTCGTTATTTGTATTTTGACTCGCCCTACGGGCTCTTCAAAATACAGCACAACTCGTAAAAATACTCTGCGATACTATACAACAAAACGTCTAATACGGTATATNGGCTGCCTCATTTGCTTAATGAAACTGGTGGCAACTTGACAACTAATTGTAATAATCGAGACCAGAGGCAGTTCAATAAAACTTTTGCAGTTGTAATTCAAAAGTGTATGTATTGTCTCAGAGGTTGAAAACAATAGCTATGGTTGTCAATTACACTTGTAAGAGTTTTATTGAATTGAACCCTGAATTACATTCAGACATATTAAGTTTCCCTTATTTAGTTGTTTTTTGTTTGTTTCAAAAGGCGAAATTCAAAGAAAATGTTATACCTAAACATAAAAGGGAAAGGACTTTTAAAAGGGCAGAGGTCGTTCATTTTACAGGGGAAGTAAATTCTGTTGTAAAATGAGGAAATCCAGTGGCCAAAGTGATGATATAAAAAATCTTTCATATTTCATATCCAAAATCATACCACACATTGGATCTACTGTAAATCCTCTATTAAGCCAGCCCTCTTTAGAGGAAGAAATTTATGAAACCACCCACAAAAAGATACCTTATACATGGAACTTTAGCCACACCTTTATTTTGTGATTTTGAGGTTCACAAATAATTTTCCATGACATTTAAATTTAGTGATTGTGTGAAAATTCTGTATTTTGAGTCATTTTAATGTCACATTTTTGAGTGAGAGGATCTTTGCTCTTAGCAATGTTATGCAAAAAGTCTTTGAACTAAGAAATGATTTTAAAAATTCACACATTTTCAACAGCCCAGTTGCATGAAATTGGTTTAAAAAGCTACTTATGTAGCTTAAGGTCAAATATTCAGATTTAAGTTAACGCCCACAATTTACTTTCTTTTGGACTTGCAATCTGCTTTTAATACACTCAGTAGTAATAACTTATTCTTTCTTGATTTTCATGTTGTATTCACAACACTTATCTGAGGACTGTCACTTAAATGTTGCGACTAAAAAATAAGGTGTCATGAAAATGTTATGTAATTAGATATCTTGGGAGCTTGTTTTGATCAAGTACATTTGGAAGCAAAACTTTGCAGCTTTAAATCATATCAGGATCTATGTCCTAATCTCATTCCCCTGTGTATCCCTAAAATAAATGAAAAATACACAGGTGGCTTAATGGAAGACTTAAGGTATTTAAATGTGAAGTTGATCTAATCAAATGGCACAATTGGAGGACAAAAATTAACAAGAGCTGCACAAACTCTTATCATATGATCCACCAGTGCAGTACACCTGTCAGAGTTTTCATGATTACAGATAAGGAAGTCAGTTGGCAAGGTACCTTCCAGTATTGTATACTTCCGTCTAAGTAGTCCAATGACGCGTTCAACATGAATTCTGACATTTGCAATGCCTCTGGTCTGCTCCACATCCACTGGGTCGAGCTGAGATTTACCCTTTGTGAAAGCTGGTATAACCAGTTTAGCATGTTTCAGTCCAACACTTTCAGTGATGGTGAATCCCCGGTCAGCCATCACCATGTCTCCTGGACTCAGTTTGTCTAGGAAGCCACAGTTCTCAGTTAAAAATTTATCTGAGACACGACCTCCCCAGGCTTCAGACACATATGAAATAGTTCCTTGTGGTGTTATCCCTACCAGAATTTTGATTGTATTGTGATGTTTGTAACTTGAAAAGGTCTGTGCCCTGGCTAGCAAGTTTGAAGGCCTCTCGATAAATACTTCAAAGCAGTCGATCACAACAGTTGTTTTCTTTCCGAATGCATACTGAAAGCACTGAGGCATTGTTCTCCACAGTTGATCCCTGTCTGGCCAGTACACAAAGCGAAATAACCTCGTGTCCATCGCAACAATCCAGTGGGAAAATATTCTGGAAATTGTTGACAGTGAAACAACAAACCGGTATGCAAGATCCTGCAGCGGTGCATTTAGTCTTAGTTTCATAAGAACAATGATGAATTCTTGAAATCTGTTGAGCGACTGTGTTTGCCGTGTAACATGTGAGGAGACGTGCTCGAAAACAACCATCAGTACTTCCATAGATGGTAGCCCAGTGTAAAAGCGAACTTTATCGTCAGTGTCAAAGAAATCCTTGTTTGGGGCTTGATATTTGCTTGTCTGAAACATGTAGTCAAACTCGGTAGTTTGGCACTCGGCGTCCTTAACAGTTTCTGGTTCGATTTGTTCACCTTCCCTAACTGCTATGGCCGACATATCAGAAGAAAAGGCCTCCTCGTTCCCTTCGTTTCGATTTCCCTCTTCTTCTGTCGAAGTACTTGGCTGACTAAAGTCGATCTGAGCAGCACGAAGGCTGCTTTCCACAAGCTTTTGACGTTTCTCTGCCGCTTCTCGTTCTTGTCGTTCGACCGCAAGTTGCTTTCGCTTCTTTGCCCTTTCCGCTCTCTCTGCGTTTGCAACATGGTCTAACGTAGGGCGATAATTTCTCTTGCCAAGTTGCAATGTGGGCACCCAATCTACGTCGTGCTTATGCCAGGAAGGAGCTGGCTTCCCAGAAACAAAATGCTTGCCACATACCCGTTCGCTGTTTAGCACGCCTTTCGATTCCGTGTCGTCGCGACTGATCGCTTTTATCCATTTTTCTCTCCGCTCTGTAGTCAGTTCTTCTTCAAATTCTCCTTTGTTGGTTACCACTGAAGGTATTCGATAAAATCCAATCCCTTTATCTCGGTCACTTCTACTTCCACATCCAAAAACAACGCAAAGGACCATGTTAAGCTCGCTTTTCTCACTGTGATCTCTCTAAATGGGCGCGTTTGTTTGGGCACCAACATGGCGGATAGCAACCGTCGTCAAGGTAGAAGTCACGTGGGTGAAAACCAAGAATATTATTGATAATATTAGCGTTTAACAAAGAGTAACTCAGAAAGCTAGACCTTGACATTCAAAAGTCATTGAACTTACTCAAAACTACCTTTCTGCAGTGCCATTTACTGACTGAGCCGAGGTAAACCTTCGTAGATCAATGGTCGATCGAAGTGAATAATACTCTCTGTAGGATCACTGACCGTTTTTGAAGAAAAAATCGTTGTGACAGTCATTGAACTTACTAAATCTTATTAGTTGTTTGCCAAACCAGTACTGTTGTTTTTTTAAGAGTGTAGAAGCACTTTTTTCTTACGCGCTTTCTGATTGACAGGTGTCAGACTGCGAGAGATTCTCAAAAAAATGTTTCAAAGTTTCTTTGGAAGCTTTTTGAATCACCTTCATTATTACGAAAATAATAACGTTTGGTGAGGCTTCTCTCTCTCATTTGCATTGTCTCTGTTTTCACCACCATTTACTCGCTCAAAAATTTTTCTGTTTCTAGAGATCTTGCCGTAATCACAGCCCTAAATCATTCGGGTTCTTTAGAAAGGCATTTCGTTAAATTTTTTTTGTTATTCACCAGTCTACAATCAGTGACAGAATTGTTGACACATTGAGGGGTCTTGTCAGTGATAGAGTGATAGAGTGGTAGAGACAAGAGTGATATTCTACACAAAAATAGGACTCTTCAAACATGATGTGTCAACTTAATTTGACGCTGACTGTAGGTCGGTCCGTATTGGGAAAAACTGTGTCCTCTACATTGAGTACCGTCCGAGACCCTAGGCCTCAGGCGGTCAAAGATTTTCCCAGCTACGGATCGACCTAGGCTGATGAACAACATATATTTGTATTCTCAAGGGTGCAGCCCAAAATCCACGCCGTGAGTCAAAATTAAGCATTTAAAGTAGTGTACAAGTATTCCCACGATCACGCAATAGACGTTTAGGACCTTCGTCTTTCAACTGATCTTCATCGACCAATTTCTGACCGATGATCAGTGCTAGATCATAATACTCCTGCGCTTTTTCCAGATCACCAAGTTCAGCATGAACGTTACCGAGGTTATTATAAGTAGCTGCGACGTGGACATGCTCAGGTCCAAGTTTTTTCAGATTAATGGCTAATGCAAGATCAAAATAATCTCTAGCCTGCTCGAGGGAGTCGGACAAGAGATGAATAATGCCAAGGTTATTGTATGTAGTTGCAACATCAACATGCTCAGGTCCGAGCTTAATCGTTCGAATAGCCAGTGCATGATCATAGTATTCTTTCGCTTGCTCCAGATTTCCCAACTGTCGAGATATGCTTCCTAGGCTGCCATAAGTAGCTGCGACATGAATATGATTCGGACCGAGTTGTTTCAGTCGAATTCTCAGTGCATGATTGTAGTACTCCCTTGCCTGCTTTGGATGACCCAATTCACGATGAACGTCTCCTAAATTATTGTAGGTAGTCGCAACATGAACATGCTCATGTTCACCCATATCGTGAATAATGACAAGCGCCCGATCGTAATAGCTTTTCGCTATCTCAAGTTCTCCTAAGCCAAGGTGGATGTTTCCCAAGTTCCCATAAGTGGCTGCGATATCTACATGCCTGCGTCCTTGTTTTTTCAGTCGAATAGATAATTCACATTCAAAGTACTTTTTTGACTGATGAAAATCACCAAGGTCCTGGTGAATGGTACCCATGTAAAAATTGGCGATTGCTGCATCAACACCTCGAAAACGTTTATCACACTTGGTAATTTCCAATGCTAAATGAAAGTACTTCTTCGCTGTGCAAAAGTCCAAATGCTTTTGGGCCACCTGCCCAAGGTTTCCAAACATGCCTGGAAGACCCTGAACTTTGAAAATGTCCTCTTTGGTGAGAACTTTGGGTAGTTTCTCTGCACAGAACAAATTTTCAACTTTCAAAATAAAGGATTTCAAATGGGGAACAACTTGGTTGCTGCTAGCGATAGAGTCAGGGTCATCAGAATTTACAAGTGACCCGTCGTTTATGAATTTGTTAAATGACCTTAGAGCTCCGCTCACGGCTTCAAGACTCTTTTCCTCTGGAAGCTCATTCATTAAAGCATTAGTGACTTCATGCACAGCATTATGTGCGCGAATATAAACACCACTCTCTTCCTCGTCTAACAAAAGTAACGAGCACCTTTGAATTCTCAAACTTAGCACCTCACGTGCTTCCATCTCGTTGTCTGCAGCCAGAAGGTAATCGATCACGAGGTCCTGATGCACTGGTTGCGTTGCACAAAGGGAGAAATAATGTATTTTCTTGCAAAAAAATTCGATGACTATACAATACTCGCACAGAAAACTCCTCGCAAACCAAAAATTATCATCAATTGACCAGTCCCGCAACGCGTGACGACATCAAAAGACGACTGCAAAGGAGACTAAGTGAATCTTAAATCCTCTTTAACCTAACATCAGACAGCAGCTTCACCCCACTGTTCTTTATACATTTCCGGGAGTGAAGATAAGGAGAATTTGCTAAACCATCAAGGGCTTTTTTTATTGGTCATCCTGGTGCTGGGAAATTAGGCACTTGTCAATTTTACGTTCACGGTGAAAATAAAACGGTGCATCACGCCAAATAATAAGTTAATAGTAAAACGGAGATAGCAGCTGAAATTGCTATTACTGTAGCGGTTAGAATCGATAAGTTAGTTTTCAATACCAACAGGAGAAAGCCTATATATTCTGACCCCTTTAGCTTGTAGGTTTTGTTTTCCCATGTCAGGTCTCAGGAAGTTCCCAGCTTTATCTTTTATAAAATTATGAGTACATATGTACGTGAACAATGATAATAAATATGTATAAATCTTACGAGATTCGAGTTTGAGAGAGGATTTAACAAAAATGATGCACTGGAACTCAAAGCTGTTTTGATTTTACGGCCAACTGATCCTGTAAGATTTCAATTACTGGGAGGTTGTAGAATTGCGATAAATATCCCATTAGATTGGAATCAAATTAGGTTCCCAGTGCCAACTGCTTCATGGAGACTTGTGTAAACGTGTTTTATACATTCGATAGAAATACACAGTCACCAGAAAAATGAATCCCGTAATCAGAAATAAGCTTTCTATGAAATAATAGTGAATGATAAAAACATGTTTCATGGTAGACTGAAATAGAGGGAATGATAGGAATAATAGAAGGAATAAAAAGGAAACTGATACAATTTAACTATTAATTTTAACAGTAAAGCAATAACCGTATTTGGCGCAAATAGACTTAATTCATCTTAACTTTTGTCTCAAATCCACGTTAAAGGGGAAAAGAGTCAACATGTTTCACGAAGGCTTATAATTCACTGGCCTGTAATGAGCAAGGAATGATATAGCAGGATGCACAACATTATATAGAAACTACTATGTACAGAAAGATGATACGTAAAAAATACAGGTTAACAATCGCCAAGGTTTGATACAATAGCAAAAACTATTTGAAGCTATAGCGGAGTAGTGGAGCTTTTACATCAAGATTAGGAAACAGTAATTACCATATGCATTTTTGTTCTTCAAGCTCTTAAAAGTTTTTGTCCTATCGAAAGTAAAAAAGATACGTGAGGTCTGCTTTGTAAAGATAATTAAACACATTCCTAGTGTAGGCGTTTAAAATTTCTCAGAAAGTTTTAAAAGAGAACTTTGTTAAACACAGAAGAGTTTGTCGGAGAACGTTCTGCGTACTTATCCGGTGCTTTCTTGCAACATCTTCCAGGACCTTGCTGTGAGAGAGGAAAGTCTATATCAAGAACATTGAACGACAACACCTAATATCAACACAGCGGTTAAACGTCGGACAAGCGCAAGGGGATCAATTCTGACCGACCGCGCGCCAATTTCCCGCGCAAAATTTCTAAGAAATCATAAGAAACAACCGCCTCCTTGTAAATTAGCGAAAGAAAATTGACAACTCAATTCTAAAAGTACGCCTACTACCCATAACAAAGTTTACCCATGCGCAGACGTTTGACTGCTGATCATGATCTAAAATCCTTTCTAGTCTACATTTTCTCAATTACGGTTGGTAATTTTCTATCCGTGCTCAGTTTCGCTATCCTTTACTCTTTATATCCTCACTTGCCTATTCTCTATATCGTTTTCTACATGTTTCCTTTGGCACTGACAAGCGGTGTTGGGGTAGAGCTCGCGCTGCGCAACGACATCAAGCAATGGTTGCGAAGGAGACTTGGAACTCATAAGGTGGCCTAATTTTCCTTTTTCTCATGATCTCAATACTTTGTGGTGATACAGCGAAGAAAGTTTCTTATACTCATTTTTGCTTTATGCCTGCTTAAATAACTTGAAACAAAGACCTCAGTCAGGAACTATAATGAGCTCCCACCTCGGTACTATAGGACAATTTATTACCTGACGAGAGAATTCCGCGTTAAATCTCATCACGATAAGTGCGATATCGGTTTTCGCGTGAAGTTTGCCGCGGAATTCACGAGTAAGGTAATGGATGTTTTTGAACCGCATAGTTGAACAGATAAAAGAAAAAAGGAAAAAAAAGTAGTAACATTGTTTGTTTTTATCCTAAGCGCGAGATCTGAAACAATATCACTGAGCCTCATTTTCAACTCGCAATTCCACGCCAGATACCTCGCTTCGTTAACCAATTAGAATGCGAGAACTTATTCAATTACGCGATTCTAAATATAGAATCTTTCGCTTTGCCTTTAAAAGTCTCGGTCAGCAGAGATGGGTAGTAGAACGAGCGAACGGTGTTTAGCTCTGCTCTGGTCCCCTCTGACCAAAAGATGACACAGACTACCAATCAGAGGCCTGCATCTAGAACAATAGTGATCCTCATACCTGAATAAGACACAATCCTGATCTAGAGTTGGGATGTGTAAATGCATAAACCAGCCACGCCCCTAGAATAATTAGCGCTACTGCACACGCACAGATGACAGCTATTAGCCATGGAGCGAGGTCTGTGGCCGACTCTTGCTCTTGCACTTGCTCTTTGGTTTGGATGATACAATTTTCTGACTATTAAAAAAAAAAAAACATGCGATATCAAGGCACTTTTAAAATTTATCGTTTAAGACAATCAAAATACATGAAATTAATCGGCCTTAGATAAAGTAGCTGGATGAATTTGGCTGTCTTTCGAAGTTAAAAAGTTAAATTGATCGAGATGCTTGTACTGCCATAACACAAAGATACCAAATATTCAACACCATTGAATCTCTAGCTTCGATTGTAGAATAGAGAAGGACAGAAAAAAAAATTTCTCAACGCTGATATTACTTGAGTAATGGCTGATTTGTTGCAGTCCGCTCCTAGCCACTCGCTGCGATAGCGATCAAAACCATCCGAGCATCTAAAAAAAGCACAGAAAAGAGATGAAATTACAAAAAAACAATGAATTGCGAGAAGAGCACTGGGAAACCTGTAATTTAATGTTAAAGGCTTGAAAATAGGTTACAAGATTGTCATATAAAATAAGGCGTTGTGACCTCCCTATTAATGAGCATAATGTACACTGAATCCAGAGATCGGTCTGGTCTTGTAGCTCTGGCCATGGCGATGTGCTTTTTACCTTCACCAAAACTCTAATACTGTCAAGGTGTTTCTCCCGGGAGTAAGAACGGGTCAGGGGCTTAAAAACGTTTTCCCTAGGCGGCTGCCGAAATTTTAAAAGACGGCTGTGCCCGGAAAGGGGTCGTAAGGCGAAACCTAAACACGAGAGTCTGCTCGCAAGTTAAACAGGCAGATCTACGCCGGTCTTAATGGTGCCGGTGGACTGGCTTTCGTTGAAACCTCTGATGGTAAACTGTCAGGGGAACCTCGCAAAAGATCATGGAGGAATACAATGAACATGTAAAGGACTGGCATCCCACTGTGGAGATGTAGCAAAACTCCACCTTACTGCTACATGGACCGGGATCGGCTGCGGCGGCCTGAGCCAATTGACTTGTGCTCAGAATTAGCCAATCTACGTTTAAACATTTTATACAATATTTTCTATGAACAATGAAATAATCAGGGAGGAGACTTTCCAAGGAGCACAGACTTGAATTATCGGCAAACCTATAGAGAAAATTGGCAGCAGAACTAGCCTTCCATTGATGGATGTATGTAAGCATTGTGAAAAAAAACAAAACAAAACAAAACAAAACAAAAGAAAAAACAAACAAAGAAAAAACAAAAACAAAACAAAACAAATCAACTAATAATATCATATTCTCATCCCAAGTTTATATTTGGGACTAAATTCCAAAAACAGAATTTGACATTTTTCCCCTTCATGTGAGCCACAGGTACGTACTAACCTTTTAAGCTTGCTACACCAGGTGCATTGAAACTCGGTGGTTCTTCTTGCTTCCATGCATTCTGCACAAGTTTTGGCACCAACACAATCTGTGGAAAAAGACAAGATGTTTATGATCCAAAAAGAAATACCCAAGACAATCATAATCAGGTTCCTTATTCAACTGCAAACCTGGAGACCAAAACAAAAGGATTAAGAGATTTTTTTTATGTTCAGTGCTTTTAAAAAATGAATAAAAATTACATCTCAAATTTACATACTCACTTTTCTTGGGACGAAGAATAATGGCTGTGTTATCAGCGACGAAACTTTTGTTGATGTGCACTGCATCGTACGTGTAAAATATGCGAAATATTTGCCCTGAAAAAAAAGAAAAGAAAAAAAGAAAAAAAAAAAAGAGAAAAGAGGCACGCGTAAAGAAGGTGTTGTACACGTTCTTCTGTTGGAGTAGCTTACTAGAAGATAGTCCAACTGGGAGGGCGATCACTCAGAATTATGCACCCTTCTGAACTTAAGTCTTTACTGATAAAATGTTATTGACAACACTGTCATAACGTTCTAAACTGTGACCATTTTGGTTGACAGAGCAAGAAGCTAAACATTTTGGCCAGCTCCCTTGCAGCAAAAATCAGCAACTTGGTGACCTGTGTTAGGTGACTGCGTACCAAGCTTTATGTATATGTACAACGTCTATGTCTAACAAAACTCAACTTGAAGTGACCATTTTCCAAAAGGTTGACCTTTTTCTTATATTCCTCCTCACTCAGTTTCTGTTTTCATTCCTCTTCTTCTCAACCTTGGAATTCTCTTTCTATTCCATGTTTCCTTCCTCTCTAATTTTTGCCTCATTTTCTTTATCCTTTGATGTGGATTAACTGAAGTAAAAAATATGCTCCAGGAAACCTGTATCACAATCAAACAGCACTTACAAATGCCATAGTAGTGTCTTAGTTTGTCCACATAATAAGCATCTGATATCCCAATATTGACTGAATGTTCAGCACTGGAAATATTGGCAACTGGAATTGGAATCTAATAGTGATTAAAAAACAAAACAAACAAAATTAAACAAACTGAAACAAAAGACAAAAACAAACCAACATACAGCTGGGTTAAAATCCTACACCTACATGTGTAGAGCTATCAGTTGTGGATATACATGGACATAGTCTCATATGGGAAAAATAAGAGACACTGATTTGCAGTTCTTATGTTTCCTTTAATGCAGCTATGGCACATTCAGTGCTCTCAACCAGAATACATTGCCTAAAACTCTTGTAATTCTCTGTGCTACAGTGAAAGAAAATATATAGAAATATGAAAGAGGGACCAGAACTTGAAATTTGAGACTACACTCAGAAACCTCACATTATGTGACTGACAAGTCAAAGGAAATAAATTTCAATACTAATTCTTGGAGGGAAAGGACACAACACAAGTGTGATCACCATATGCAAAAATAACAACCTTGCCTGTAAACCATTGTAGATCATTTTAATGATTGGCAAAAAAGTATACATGTATAAAATTGATAAGGACAGTTAAAAACTTATAAATTTAGCTCCTTACTTTGTGGTAGGAAAAAACAATTTCACCAGTCCTGTTGAGCATGCACTGAAATGTGAAGCCCCCAGCTATAACAAAAATAAAAAGGAAAGGATTAATACTATTAAGTTATTTTCAATCTTGTTATGTCCTACTGCACACATGATGTGACACTTGTACTGAACATTCTGTGTGCTAGAAGATTCTACTCTAGAAGGGACTTTAGCCCATTACCAGTGACCCCTTAAGGTTACTCACTTCACATTGTTACTCCAGGGCAGACTGAGGTATATTGAGCCAGAGGAAAGAGCTTGCCCTTAAGAATATTACACACCCTACCAAGCACCCAAATCTAATAGACATTTTGTTCCAGAGCCCAATGAACTATTTAACACCATGCACCTGTTGGATGCAACATAAACAGCTACAAAAATCAAATAATACACCAGAGGATGAAATTGGTCAAAAGACTGTTATTCTAAAAGGACGTAAAGACAGCAGAGTGACAATAACTCTCAAAAAAGAAACAACAACTTTGAGTTTAAATTTACAAGACATGTTTCGACATTCTCATGTCATCTTCAGTTGCAAATGAGCATTTAACTGTTGTACATTTGAATTAAAATTAAGGTACGTTACAAACTACGTGTCAGGGCTTACGTTATATTTGAGAGTTAAAAACGTGAAAGATGTAAATAGCGTGCACTTGACTAGATCAAAAAATAAATTGATAAATAAAAAAAATAAATGTAATAATAATAAAAATAAATTAAAAGACCAAGGAACAACATAATTAAAAGGACAGAGACAATTCTAGATGTTTCAATTGCTGATTAAGGATAGGTTTTTCCCACTTAATATGCAATGCCTCTTTGATCTTAATTTGGTATTTTGAAGTGGCAGAATCTAGGATCATGAAACATTCAGTATCACAAGATTCAAGACAGGCCCTCGATNGCTAGGTCTACGTTCGCGTGTCATATATAAATTTTCATGTGCTGGCTGTAATGTCAGTTATATTGGTGAGACCACTCGCCACATTTGTACACGAGTTCGTGAGCACCTCTTGTCAGACAAAACTTCGCATATTTACAAGCACCTGCAATCATCGAGGGCCTGTCTTGAATCTTGTGATACTGAATGTTTCATGATCCTAGATTCTGCCACTTCAAAATACCAAATTAAGATCAAAGAGGCATTGCATATTAAGTGGGAAAAACCTATCCTTAATCAGCAATTGAAACATCTAGAATTGTGTCTCTCCTTTTAAATATGTACTTCCTTGGTCTTTTAATTTATTTTTATTATTATTACATTTATTTTTTTTATTTATCAATTTACTTTTTGATCTAGTCAAGTGCACGCTATTTACATCTTTCATGTTTTTAACTCTCAAATATAACGTAAGCCCTGACACGTAGTTTGTAACGTACCTTAATTCAAATTCAAATGTACAACAGTTAAATGCTCATTTGCAACTGAAGATGACATGAGAATGTCGAAACATGTCTTGTAAATTTAAACTCAAAGTTGTTGTTTATTTTTTGAGAGTTACTGCTATTCTACTATTACCATCTGGATTGTCATGAAGGAATACAGATGACCATTGTACGATGAATTCATTTCCTGAGGGACAAAAAGAAATAATTGTAGGTCATTGGATTTCCAAGGAAAGAAGTCCAATTCCACTGATAAGTACCACCAGTAAGATACAACTAATATTTGTTTAAACAGTGAGCAAGATGCTAACATCAACTAAACAACCAACTTGATTTGAAGTTGTAAAAAGAGAAAAATAATGATGGACCACAAATTTCATATCACATTCATAACTCTGCTGGACATGAAGTAGAGATAATCAATCCTTAAGACATCAGACTGTGCACAGGCTTTGCACGTATTAATAACAAATATCAATAAAAAAATAATAATAATAGTAATAATAATAATAATAATAATGATAGTCCTATGGTAACTATGATACAGTCAAACCTCGATCATCCAGATTTCTCAATTATCTGGACTTTTTCTCTGGTCCCAGTTTTTTCATGAATATTTATTGGTCATAATCAAGATCTGTAGCCATATTCTTTTTAAAACTACAGCATTGAAAAGGGAAGTAAAGGCAATGTTCTTCTTTAAGACAAACTGACTCACTTCAATATTTTAGGCCAATGTAAAAACATTTTTCATTAATCTTAATTGTTAACACACATGTGTAGAGGTATTCACATAGGACAGTGAAGATGTAGACCATATCTTTTTCAAACGATTGGGAAATGTTTTGTTTCAGGATTAAATGCCACTTTCTTAATTTAATCAGCTTTTTTTGTTCCTCATTAACATTTGTATTCTAAATTATCCAGACCCTTGATTATCCAAACTATTTTGTCTAGTCCCAGCCAGTTTGGATAATCAAGGTTTGACTGTAATAGAATACAAAGAAGGAACTCACTCACCAACAAGGTTTTCAGTGTGGTAGTGATCAGTATATACAAACTATATATATTTAAAAAGAAAATTATATTATGTATGTCTGTACAAGACACATTGCCATTTCATCAACTCTTATTTAACCCCTTTAACTACTGAGATCTGATTGTTAATTCTCCTTTCTAGCTGCTACACATTTCCTTTTTAATAAGAAACAGGAATTTGGTGTTAGATCAGTTTGTGTGTGGTGAGTTTATATTCTCATCATCAGTTTGCTGGATTTTGATGGATATTATAGAGAGAAGTTAAATGTTAATCACTTTTGCAAGTTAAACGTTTAAATTTTACATGGGTATGTGAAAGACCCCGAAAATAGTTGATGGACAATTATGTCATACAGTTTCCAAATAAAAATCAATAGGGTTGTTTCTTACTGCAAAATGACGTGCATCAACATGAAGTGTAAACAAACATCTAATACACCTAACACATTCAAACTATTTACTTAAAACAACATAAAAATAAAAAAATTGGCGGTATGAGGCTCCTGATGTACCACATTTTTTATGGCACTGAACAAAAATAAATGTTGTAGAATGACCCTAGAAGGTAGTGTTGCAGAATATTGTATTATTTTACACCTGCCACATCCCACACATTTATGAGTACCCTGTTCCAGAGGAGGAAGATGATTCGAGAATATATTGACTAATTCACACTCAACCACTCATTAAATGGTAACAAATAATCATATTAACAATTAATAATAATGACAACAATAGTAATCAAAGGGGCTGTGAGCCACTGAAATGGGATAATGTTTAATAATAAGCTGGAAATGAACTTTTTGTAATAATTCATAGCTAAGGGGTTCCACTTCCAGGAAAATCTTTACAATAATTTTTTTTTATTCTTATCACTAGCGCAAATGAAAAACGATGATGACTTTCCCTTACAATCAGAGAAAGGGGGAAGAAGCTTTAAGTCTTTCCTTGGCAATCCTAAGGACATGTGGTTTGGCCTTCTTTAGGTGGCAGTAGCCACAAAAAAAGATTCTATAAATTAAATCTACAGATTTGGCCGAGAAACACCACAGATCAGCTAGTGATTGCATGGCCATATTCACTCTGCTCAATGAACTGAAAATAAAAACTACTCACCATTATCAAAATGATAAACATGGCTGTTGTTTTTGAGAGAGGGATTGAAGTATGCCATGAGTGGAGCAACATATTGGAAGTTGGCTATTTGACGACTGTTTGATGTACCCAGATTAACAAAGCCTGATATAAGAGAAAATACAGGTAATCCAAAGCTTAAGGTAACATGTAATAATAATAATAATAATAATAACAATTATAATAATAATAATAATAGTAATAATAATAATAATAATAATAATAATGAAACTAGACAGAAAAACAAGAAAGTTCTTGACAATGGCAAAAATGCACCACCTGGAAGCAGACGTAGATGGGCTATTATATCCCTGGAAAGGCAAGTGGAAGGGGACTTGTACAATTAGAAATTACCTAGACAAAACAACTGCAATTGGCCTGAACACATATCTCAACAACAAAGATGAATATCTTGTTAAAATAGCAAGGGATCATGACCGAGGCAAGAAAACAATGTCCATACACCATCAAGCTGCCAAATACGGGCAAGAACTCAGCTTAGCAGAAGCTGAAGTGATATAGAGTGAGCCAACAACGAACTATGCCTGAAGGCTAAAACTGAAAGCCAAACACCAAGCTTAAGAACAACTCAAGAGCAAATGGGAAGAAAAGCCTTTGCATGGTCAATACCCAAAAAGAATAAAAGGGAAGGATGTAGACCAAGACCAAACCCACAATTGGCTGAGTTCACCTGCCCTCAGATCAGAAACAGAAGGTTTCATTAGCGCTGCCCAAGATCAAAGTATTAAGACCAACTATTACTGAAACAAGATCCTGAAAGATGGCACCGACCCAATGTGCAGAATCTGTGGGAAATTCCAAGAAACAATTGACCACGTTGTCTCTGGATGCCCAGAACTTGCCAAGACAGAGTATATACAAAGACACAATAAAGCTGCAGCATACCTCCACTAGACAATATGCAAACACTACAACATCAAAGTGCAAGATAAACACTACGAATAATTTATGAACCATCTACTGTGACAGAAAACCAAACACCAACTATACTCTGGGACATGCCAATCCAAACTGATAAAGAGATAAAAGCAAATAGACCAGACATAGTGGTAAAAGACAAGGAGAAGAGAACTTTCATGCTCATTGATATGTCTATCCCCACAGAAAGGAGCACCTTGAAAACAGCAGAAAACTCTCCAAGTTTTCCAAGGAGTAAATCGTTAAAACTATTTGAGGCTTTTGGTTGCTTTCAATATTTTTCCTTAAATTAACTAAAACATAGATGAATAACTGACGGAAATTTGCCAATATCCATGACATCAAGGGCAACTGTTTATGTAGGTGATCAATTACAGGTGAACATAAATCCCTCACATATAACAAAGATCTCGAAATAAATCAAGAAAACATGGGGAATGAAAACAACCATCCCAGTGATCATTGGAGCTCTTGCGCTTGTTGAGAAGGGAATAGAAACCTACAATGGCAAGATTCTAGGCAATATCAGAATAGCAGAGCTACAGTAGACCGTTCTCCTTGGAACTGCCTGTATA